TCCTAGGGTTTTGATACACGTGGATCCCTAAACCCCAACCCTCAACCCGAAATCGGATGTGTATATGGGTTTAGGGTTTAGGGCGTTTAGGGTTTAGGGGTTTAGGGTTTGGAGTTTAGGGCCTTTTTATCGGGGCTTGGCATAGTCTTCAGATGTATTGCTCCAGGGTTCCTGGTTGCTGTTGTCCAAAGCGCGCCTACGGAGCATGTCCGACTCGTCCGCAGGATTCAGGGCCTAAGTAATAACCAATACTACTTTGGGGGTTCCTCATTAAAAGTATATCAGTAATAACCAATACTACTTTGGGGGTTCCTCATTAAAAGTATAGTATAAGAGACCCCAAAGCCCTATTCTAATTATCAAGGCCCCTACATTAGGTTTGCAAGGCCTGGCCTGCGCCATGTACAGCCCACATGCCCACATTCGCGAATCCAGAAGACTCTGTAAGAAGTCATGGCGCAGAATGACCTTGCAAAGTTTCTGGGTTAATGAACGCCTGTGTAAATATTTGTAGCATTCCAACCCCCCCCCTCCTCTGGAGTCTCCACTGACCCGCTCCCAAGGAAGCCGCGAGCACTGAAGACGGAAATCTTCGAGGGTCCAAGTCGAAACTGCAGATGGTATCGATCGATATCCATATGCGTATTCTGTCGAAACCTCAGACTTTTTGGCAGTTGTATGCCCTAAGGTAGAAGCGTCACAAGCTGATGCAATTTAGAGATGCAATCGAAAGACAGAAGTTCAGTGAGGACCATGGCGAAAAAATCCTTCGTGCACGAGCCGAGGATCTTCCACCCTGGGCCTCCTCTTGTCCTAAACCCTAAGCCCCCTCTACCCCCCCTCCAATCCTAAACCTGAAAACCCCCTTATCCCTAAACCGCATGATTCTTCCAACCCTGATTCCAGAAAAAGCCGGATCGTCGCTTGATTCCTGCATGTTCCTGGTGCAGGTCTACGCAAGGGCGACGGGCGAAACCGTGGTGCTGGCGGCCAACGGCGAGGGCTTGTTTTGCAATCAGGAGGGGATTCCCTAAACCCCGAACCCCGGGTTTAGGGTCAGGTCCGGGGTCACGGATTCTGATTCGGGTTGTGATTGCAGATCCTCGCGGTAGTGTTTCCAAGCCTTCAGCGGTATGCTAGAGTTCAAGGTAGACACCAAGCCGAACAAGCTGAAGCATAATCTCAACACCTAACCAAACCCAGAGCCTGCCCCTAAGCCCTAAAAACCCCAAAACCCCAAACCCTGAACCCGAAAACCCTAAACCCTAAAACCTAAAACCCTAAAGCCCGAAGAGCACAGGGATGCTGAACTTGGAAAACCCTACACCCCTAAAGCCCTAAAGCCCTAAAACCCTAAAGCCCGAAAAACCCCAAACCCTAAAACCCCTAAAGCCCGAAGAGCACACTCTAGTTATTAAGGCCCCTATATTACTTGCGGGAAACCCCAGGGATGCTGCGGCATGACCGGGAAGACGAAGCTTACCGACCCGAAGTCCCTGCTTCATCACGACAAGCACCCGAGTCGGAGACTAGGTTGCACCCGAAGGAGCAATATTGGTAAGCATTTAGTGGGCCTCTACATTAGGATCCCTTTTACGTCCCCCAAAGCAGCACGGCACCCTTACCAAAAAGTACCCTGAACGGGACCCTGATTTAGAGAGCTATGGACTTGAAGGACCCTAGACCCTAAACCCCTAAACCCTAAAGATCCCTAAACCCTAAACCCTAAACCCCTAAACCCCTAAGCCCTAAACCCTAAACTCTAAATCCCTAAACCCTAGGCCCTAAATCCTTAATCCCTAAGCCCTAAACCCTAAACCCTAAACCCTACCCCTTGTTATAGGCAAACTGTAACTGAGCCCCAAAACCTTACTCTAATTATTAAAGGCCCTTTATTAGGTCCTTCAAGTCCATGCTTACGCAGGAATCGTTTTGTTCAAGGTTTCTTTTTCCGCAGTCGTTATCAATCTGAGTTCCGTCATTACTCCAAGATAAGACGGCCTAGTCTTCTCGTTCTTCTCATCCCTCTCTTACTTCTCCTCCTCCCCCTCCTCCCCCTCTCCTAGACCTTACATCTTATAAGGTTGAAAAACCTTCAAAATTTCCACCACTTTATGAACCTCATAAGCCTTTCCACCCAAGGATGGAGCAAGTTTTCAGAGCGGCATACAGAAGCTACTACCCGCAGAGCTTTCACTTCGGCGAGCAGCTTGCGAACCCTCAGTGCCAGGCTCCTCACACTAGGGGTACGGTTGATGATATAAATCCGGCATTACCCATACTAAGCAATATGCCAAAATTCCCATAGTTTAGGATCCTTAAGGGATCGCAGGATTTATATCATCAACAGTAGGTTGGGGTTCCGGGTTTAGGGCTTCATTCAATGGGTTTTTCTTCCATCGTGTTTGGTTGGACTCAAACCCTTGGGGCTTAGGGTTTCGAGAGCTTTCCGGATCTAGGATCCGTGGGTAAAAGCGTTAGAGGCACCCTACACCGTCTCCCTAAAACCTAAAAGCGGCCTGCCAGTGATTTCAGCGGAGGGCTGCTAGGAACCCCAAACCCCTAAACCCCCTAATCCCCTAAACCCCTGAACCCCTAAACCCCCTAATCCCCTAAACCCCCTAAACCCCTAAACCCCCTAAACCCCCTAAACCCCTAATCCCTAAACTCTAGATCCGAGGCAAGGGTTTGGGGTTTCCCCTCTACTTGGAAGGCCTCAGAGTTGATATTCGGGTCCCTTGTATGTCCCCCAAAAAAGTGCGGCACCCGTATAAGAAGGGACCCTTAAAAGGACCCTAGTTTTGGGGAAGGGGGTAGGGTTGAACCCGTGTGAGATAGAGTCAAGTTCTTTTTTTTTTTATTTCCGGTGATTGTTTTTTTTTTGATTTCCGGTGTTTGTTTCGGATTTTGCATTTTGTATGTACCCCTTGTGGTTGAAACTGCTGTGGTTGTGGGTGCGCGGATAGGTTTAAGTTTAAGCAAGTTGACAGCAGTTCAGCTGTCATCTTGAATCTGAAGCAGCGCTTATCCTACTTTTGATGCCAGGCGTAGCGGACAAATTTGTCGCCCCTCTGATGACCTCTCACCCGTAGCATCAAATCCTAGCCCAAAGTTCTTTTGCCAGAGTCACCTTCTTGAGCGGTGTGCCCACAATGCCCATCTTCAACTTCTCCAGTCGCTGGCTTCGCGTTATCTGGGCGTTTTCCACAGTGGTGAGCGTGGGCTCTGCCACGGCGATAGTCTGAAGTCGTCGCCTGAACGGCCCCGAGCCGGAACCCTCGCAACGGTGACCATGAGAGTATGAATCGGAAAAATGTTGAGCGACAACGCGGACAACAACAGTCAAAGCGCGAGCAGCGATGAAGAAGTAAACCCCAAACCCTAAACCCTCAACCCTCTAAGCCTCCAACCCTCTAAACCCTCTAACCTCTAAACCCTCTAGACTCTAGACCCTGAACGTGATAGCTCTTGGTGTTCATTTCTAGATCAACACGACTGCGGTCACGACTGCTGCTGCTGCTGCTGCTGCTCCTGCCGTTGCGACTGCCACTGCTACTACGGCGACGACGACTACTGCTACCACCACTACCACTACTAGCATCGCTACCGTTGCCGCCACCGATAACACTACCACTGCCACTCCTCTTGCTGCTGCTGCTGCTACTACTACTACTACTACTACTACGACGACCACCACCACCACCACCGCCGCCGCCGCCACACGGCTACTACTACGACTCCTGGTCCTGCTGCTGCGGTACTGTTGGTTACTACTATACTGCCACTTGCTACTATAAATACCGTTCTGTCAGTTCTGTTCAACAAGCATCTAGGCCTTCACTGCTTCCTTCCGGGATAGGCCGCTGGTGCAGTGCTGTTGGCAAGCTCAAGCTTGGACAACGATGCCGCCAAGGAGAGTGTTTGCTGTCTAGCGACAGGGTCGTGCTCAGGCTTCAGGCTTCGGATGTTGCGATTTTTGGTTTTTTTAGGGGTTGAGGGATTCTCCTTAAAACGGGAGACTGGGCTTCAAGGTTAGACTTGCATGGTGCGTGCGAGGGATGCTTTAGGAATCCTGTCACAAGGTTGATGGGGCCCCTAACCCCAAAACCCAAAACCCTCAATGCTTCCATTGCGAGGAGGAGTTGAAGACCCTGCTTCGGAGACTGCCTTCTGCTCAGTCCGATGCAGATCTGTTTCCGACGCTTCAGGTACGCCGTTTCGGTTCTAGAGAGTTTACGTACGGGAGGGGGCGGCCCCTAAACCTAAGCCCTAAACCCTAAACCCTAAACCCTAAACCGCGCCTGGGCTGTTCCAAAGGAGTCTTTGGGCTTTGTTCGTGCTTTCTCGACCGCTCCAGGAGTTCTTCCTGACATGTTTCGCTTTAGGGTTTTAGGGTTTTAGGGTTTTAGGGCTTTAGGGCTTTAGGGCTTTAGGGCTTTAGGGTATTAGGGTTTAGGGTTTGGGGCTTTAGGGTTTTTCGTTGTACTCTTCATCCGGTTCCTTTTTTTCCTTAGCGGCCGCTGCCAAGTACATTGAGCAAGGGAAGCGACGCGGATCAAGGACTGCCCATCCCGGGTCAGGGCCGCAAGCTTCTCTGTTCTGTCTTGCCGTGCCCTTCCCTTGCAGGTGCTGTCTTTGGATGATGGCGCTTATTTGAGCACAGACTTCTGGGACGCCTCCAGGCAAGGGTTCGCAAGACCGACCGGTCTGAATTATATGCGCTCTGCTTCGATGACGCCACTCACAGCTGTGACGGCAGCGACGGAGGACGGCGCTGTATATCTGAACGTGCATAGATAGGCTTCCATGTTTGCATCCCTAGAAGTCGTGATTACTTACCCAGTTACATAAACCCTAAACCCTCAACCCTAAACCCTAAACCCTAAACCCTAAACCCTAAAACGCTGTGAAGGACTTTAAAGGTTTCCTACCGGGTCGTGTCGTCAGCGCCGATGCGGCGTTGCGTCAGCTGGGTCTTAACCAAATCACCCATGTCTCCGTGTTCGACCGGTGTGCAAGTGGGGAGCAGAAGATGTCCCTGTTCCGACTTCAGTCAGAAGGCAAGGCTCCGGAAGTGTCGATGGAGTTGGATGTCTCTGATCAATGTCTCAAAGTCCTTGAAGAGCAAATCGATGCAGTGGACGTAGTCGTGGTCCCATCTGGTAATGCAGATTTCCTCACGTACGTCTACACGAAGTTTGCTCCCAGCCTCGGGAAGAAGATTCTGCAACGTGTGAAGAACGGAGACATGGTCTTTCTTGGCCAGGGTGCTGGGTCCATCTTTGCAAGCAAGAGCATTGCAGCCACTGCCGCGCCGAATCCATCGATACTGAAGCACCTGCTACATGATAAGATGGACGGCTTACAGCTTGTGGACTGCGCCTTGCGCCCTTCCTGGGACGATGAGAAGAAATGGTGGGACATTAGCTTACCTCTCCTGGAGGATGCGATGCACACTGAGATCATAGGCTTGCGAGATGGCAATGCATCTGGGCTTTTCACAACATCCCCCCTCCGCCCATGGGTTTAGGGTTTAGGGTTTAGGGTTTCTGGGCTTTTCACAACATCCCCGACCCGAAGGTAAGCGAGATCTACCCTCCCCTGATACTTGGAGGTTCATGGGTAACTAGAAGTGGGGTTATAAGTAGGGTAACTATAGTTATAATCCAAATTAGGGGACTTATAACCTCACTTATAACTACCCATGAACCTCCCCTGATAGAGCCCTTGTAGACTCATGCCTTTGGAGCTCCCTTGGAGCTCTTCCTCGAAGACCTCTGACAGAGGTTCCTCTCGGGGGCTTCAGGGTTTAGGAGTTTTCGGGTTTAGGGGTTTAAGGGTTTAGGGGTTTAAGAGTTTAGGGTCTTTTGGGTTTAGGGGTTTGTAGGTTTAGGGATTTGGGGGTTTGGGGGTTTAGGGGTTAGGGGTTTTAGGGTAGCAGAGATTCATTTCCCTGTGCTTACCGACTCAGAAGCCTGGAGACCTAGGCCTCTGAAGCCCTAGCTACTGTTGATGGTTTAGGGTTTAGGGTTTAGGGTTTAGGGTTTAGGGTTTAGAGTTTAGGGTTTAGGGTTTAGGGTTTAGGGTTTAGGGTTTAGGGATATAAACCTTGCATTACCTAAGGACCCTAAGCTATGGGAGTTATGGTAGATTCCTTATTATGGGGCATGCAGGGTTTCTATCATCAGCCGTAGAAGCCTGAAGTTCCTGGAGTCCTACACCTGTAGAGTAGCCCGGATGGGAACCCTTCTACCCAGAGACCCCAAAACCCCTTAATTAAGGAAATAGACACTATAAATCAGATGAGGGCTCCTACTGCTACTACAGTTTAAGGTATGTTCCTTAATTAAGGGGTTTTGGAGTCTTTGGGTAGAACCCCTTTGAAAAAGTCATCGCAGGCACTGGTCTGTTCGAAGAAGTGCGACGTGATCGGGAAGGGTGGGCATGCGGCGCCCTCCGTCCTAAGCCGCGCAGATGAAGGACTCGAGAGACTAAAGTTCAGGAGCTGCAACGTAGGAACCTGATTAAGAAACCCTGACCCTATAACCCCCAAAATATTAGGGTTCATATGAAGGACCCCAGCAAAAGGCCCAGGGTTTCTGAATCAGGTTCCTACATTAGGGTTTCCGGGGGCTTCGAGATGAAGGGTCTTCAGGCGATTCTGGGGGTAGGGCAGTGGGGTTTAGGGGTTTAGGGTTTAGGGTTTCGGGTTTAGGGGTTTAGGGGTTTAGGGGTTTAGGGTTTAGGGTTTAGGGGGTATAGGGTTTAGCGACCCTAAGCCCTAATAAAGCCCTAAACCCCTAAACTCCACGGCACCAAGCAGGGAGCGAAGCTTATGATTGGGGTTGGAAATACATACCACTCTTGTCATATGTATTTATATGATCCCAAGTATTGAGATACTTTTGAAGTTCTTTTGCACCATCTCCCCTCTTCCTTTACGGATTTACGGCTCCAACACCCTAAGCCCTGAAAAACCCCACAGCCCTACAGCCCTCCGCCCCCAGACCTAATCCCTAAACCCTAAACCTCACCGTAAACCTAAACCCTAAGCCCCAGCCGTAAAACCCCAAAAGCCCATCAGCCCTAAACCCTCAACCCCCAAACCGTGCAACCCAACGGCTCTAGAGCCATGAAGCCTAAACCCTAAACCCTAAACCCTCTGTAGACCCTAAACCCTAAACCCTCTATAGACCCTAAACCCTAAAATATCTATAGACCCTAAACCCTAAACCCTAAATTCTTTTTAGAGCCATGAAGCCTTTCAGGTGGTCTTCATCGCGGCCGACTGGAGCTTGCAATGCTTTCGGCCTTTCAGAGGTGAGAGCTCTGGGGTTTAGGGTTTAGGGCTTGGGGGTTTAGGGTTTAGGCGTTAGGGTTTAGGGGTTTAGGGTTTAGCGGTTTAGGGTTTAGCGTTTAAGGGTCTAGGGTTTAGGTGGTGTAGAGCTCAGGGTTTAGGGGGTTTGGGTTCTGGCGTTTGCTTATCCTGTGTGGGTCCAGGGTATCTTCGAGCTTAGGGGGTGTATTCGAGTAGGATTCACAGAAATACCATGTGATGATTGGGTTCGAAATTCAATTTACAACTCTTGGGAGGTTCCAGGTGCAGGATCATGTGTTCATTGTCCAGCCTAGGACTTGTACGGACATTTTTCGCCCAGTCCTTTAAGCGGAGTGCACTAAGTGCCTTCAGCATGTATTTTCGCAGCCGTTCGTGACGGTTCTGATGCTGGCGCCGTACCGGTTGCTGGCCACCCGTAAAGACAGTAAAATCCAGGCTGTTAAGCTTTTCCCCAGGAGTCGACATAGACCCTACCTTAAGTTTCATGCAAGAGTCGCCAGAGCTGCCAAGAGTAATCTCCAAAATCCCGCCAAAAGTCTCTATCCTCGACTCGTCGACCCCTGATGTTGGCAGAAGCAACCGTTCGGAGCTTGTAGGATCTGTAGATAGCTCAGACTTTCTGCTGCGATTTGTTCGAGCTTCCTACGCTGTTGTCCTCGTTGGAATCATAGATCCAATGGCAAAAGCGGGTTGTCGTCGTCGTTCCTCGTGCGCGAAGCACTAGAATTTGCATGGTTGTGCAGTCTAGCCGATGGCATTATTATGATTTTGAGCAGCATCACTGCTATGGCCATCCATAACACCATTCTGATTTGTCTTAGTGTCGTTACTATGATTGTCATCATCTGCATCATGATCATCATCACTCTTCATCTCTATTGCCATTGCTGTGCCGTACGCGCCAGAGTCTATGTATCCATCGCACCAGGTGCCTGGTGATGCTCCGACGCTTGCGTATTCTTGTCACTGCCGTCAGTATCGCCATCGTCATCGCTGTGACTGTCATGCTTTTTGCTGCTGATTCTCGTCCCGCTTCTCCGCCTCTGGCAGCACTCCGCCCTGCCTACTGGTCTGACAATCACCATTTCCGCGACTATGCTACCACAATTTTTTTCATCATTTCGCCATCATCAGCACCACTACACCCTCACCCGCACCACTTTGGGAGTCTTGTTTTCAACCCTAAACCCTAAGCCCTGAAACCCTGAAACCCTAAACCCTAAACCCCGGTCCCTAAGCCCTAAACCCTAAACCCCAAACCCTAAACCCTAAACCCCAGTCCCTAGCCCTAAACCCTAAACCCCAAACCCTAAACCCTAAGCCCTGAAACCCCAAGTCGGTTTGGGCATCAACCTCGAAAGCTCGCCGTGCCCGCGCCAGTCAAACGACTGCAAAACGAACTGCCCCCATGGGGTTTTTTCCGAAGATAGGGGACCCTAATATAGTACCCTAAATAGTAGGGTTTAGGGTTTAGGGTTTGGGGCCCTCATATAGCACCCTAAATAGTAGGATCCCTTGATCCTTAATATAAGGATCCTTAATCCTAAATAGTAGGATCCTTCATCCTTAATATAAGGACCCCAAACTAAGGTACCCCAATATTCGGAAAGTCCCTAAACCCTAAACCCTAAACCCCAAAATAAGGTACCCCCCAATTTTCGGAAAGTCCCCCATCGAAAGACTTGCAACGAGATCCGACGGCTGCGCAGCCGCGAAAACAGTCGGTTTCGGGTTTAGGGTATAGGGGTATAGGGGTTTAGGGGTTTAGGGGTTTTGGGGTTTGGGGGTTTGGGGGGGTTTTGGGGTTTAGTGGTTTCGGGGTTTAGGGGTTTCGGGTCTAGGGACTCTTTCATCGCAGCTGGTCCATGATTTCCCAAGGGCTGAACCTCCTCCTCTACCTCCGCAACTAACCCTCGGCCTTTGTTCCCCGAGTCCGAAAAGCCCGAGCCTGCATTTTGAACTAGAACAAGACAAGCCCTAAACCCTAAACCCCTAAACCCTAAACCCTAAAACCCTAAACCCCTACACCCCTAAACCCTTAAACCTTAATATCTCTGACTGTCGCGCGGCTATCGTCCTACTCTAGACTCGCCTTCTGCATTCCCTGACCCTAAGCCCCGAAGCCCTAAACTTTGACTACAGGCTGAATCCTCAACCCTCAATCTTTTACCATGTTCGGGATGCTTTCTCCGGTGTTCACGCGATCCTGAATCTTGAGATCAGCTCCGAGGTGAGGAAAAGGTTTAGGTTTTGGGTTGGCTAAGCCCTTAACCCTGATGTCTCAAGCCATGAAGCTTGAGGCCTAAACCCTCATCCCCAAACCCTCAACCCTGTGCAGCCTCGTAAGACTCTTGGGCCTTACAGAAAGGAGCTCAACAAAAAGACCCTCAACCCTAAAGCTTAAATCCTCGACCCTAAACGAAGAGCGAGGCGGGTTTTGCGGCGGAGCTCTTTGGCTCCATGATAAAGGCCCCTCTTATGACAGCAAGGTTCCACTGCTTGGCAGGCAACTGTAGGCGTCCTAGGCCCTAAACCATAAACTTGACACCCTGGACCCCAAACCCTAATAATCCCAAGCCCTAGACCCCGAACCCCGAAACCTAAACCCTAGACCCTACACCCCAAGCCGCAAACCCTAAACCTTATACCCGGGCATCGGAATCAAAGCCCCAAGTGCAGCCGAAGCTGTGCCAAGCCCACCGTTGGCTATGTCCAATGGTTGTCTGCTGTCGGATGCACCGGAAACTGTGGACCTGCGACACGAGTTCAACATCGCGCGGCCTGAGACTGCTGCTATAGCCTTCTTCAAGTGGACCCTGGGCAGTTGAGGGTTTGCAGTTTCACGTTTCCTTGCCATGAGGTTTGCACTTCAGCTTTCAGTGTTGAGGGTTTTTGGCTTCATGTTTTGAGGTTGAGCGACCGGACTCGGAAGACCACTAGAAGAATCAGCGGCAATCGCAGTACAAACTACTCGTAGTTACTGAACCACAGCTCCGATAGATCGGTTTTGTTCTGCGTCATTGATGGATTTTCTGTTGGCTATGGAGGTGTAGTTTTTGTAAAGAGGATAGAGTATAGAGCATAACCCAATCCCGGTTGAAGCATGCGCTTGGATTTTGTGAGATTTCGATGTTTGTTGTGTGACT